CTTCTTTGCACGTACATGTATAAAATTTTGGACAAATTCTAAGACCATGTGCTCTGCTTATAACAGTTTCTAAAATGAGGCAAACTATAGACTTATAAGTTTATGAAACAAAGATATTAACAGTCTCAATTACAGTCAACATTTCGCAACTTATATAGTCGATACAATGACCTTTTAGTAAATGCAATTATACCCGGTAAATCAGTCGAATTTTGAATTTAAGTTTTCATATTAAACTTTTAGTCCATTATTTTCACAAAGAATTGCCAACGGTTTTCCCTTTTGTCCGATCATGACAAATAGAAAACATGGCAGGTGTGCATTATCGATAAAGAATGAATGCCCCCAACTGGCGCCTGATCCTGATGGCTTCAACACTGGTCTTGAGGGAAGTGTCATGATTATGTATTTCTGTTCAAATTGATACTAGTCAATCACATAAGTTAGCAGAGTAATTCTATAAATTCATTTTAAATTGTCATTAACAGTATGGGGTTTATATATTCCAGTTGATTCGATTCATAAGGTCATTTCTAAAACGAGGTACATTTTTGACAGGCTTGTCATGTTTATGAAAGAAGAATATCAACAGTCTTAAAGTTTTCATTTTGTAAGCTTTATAGTCGATACAAATTGTTAGACCACTATTTACACACTGAATTGTAGACGGATTTTTCCGATCATGACATGGCGCACACGGCGGTTGTGACTGGTCGGCATGGGACGCTCACTCCTCCATCATCCATGGCACCTGATCCCACCTCTGATGTTTGATAGGTCCTTGTTTTCCACAGTCCTGTTTCTTGTTTGTATTGTTTAACATTTCTTTGAGCTCAAATACTGTTCAATATCTCCATATACATGCATTTCATATGATAAAAATTTATTTGAAACATCAAGTGCCTGTGATGTGGTGGTAATAATGAAGCCCATTTGTTTGTTGTTCATTTGATAATTTTTCAGTTTTTCATTTTAATATCCTTGTTTTTTTAATGTCTTCCTGTAAATAATAAAAATTTATTTATAATACCATTCATCACACAGCAACAACGAGCGTAAAATTCCCCCTTCCCGCAGAGAAAAATAAATCATACATGTACAATGTCATGTATTCTATGTTTTTATTGCTATGTTGATAATTTTTCTTGACCAAATACAATTTATAAAATAACTTCCTTATATTAGAGCTATACATACAGTTTAAATGGTGTTATATTGAATTTATAGAATTATTTGTCTTTAAAGTTATTGCCCAAACACAAATATTCTTTTATTTCAATGTTCCTGCTAACAGACATTGGTACTAATCACATATCGCGGGATACAATCACACCAAACGTAATATTCTTATTCACATCTTTTGAAAAGTTCTGGTCCAAACAAAACGACTTTTTCCCTTCATATTTCCTTCTGTTTTAGTTTGTGGTAAATGGTCGTGTCATACCCAAATTACGTTATAAGCATGCCTACTATAAGGTAGTTTTATATATAGTGTTTAATTTATCTCCATTCAAAATATAGTCTGTGTGGCAGTCAGTTACACGCAAGGAGCTCGAGGGACTAGGGGATTTTTTTGTTGCCAGACGATTGGTCTCAGTTTTACAAATTCTCTGCCAATAAGCCAGCCTAAACTCAAATCAACATGCTTTCCACAATATTTTTGTATAAAAATTATATTACAATAATAAATAAAGAGATCGTTGATTAGGTGCACTATTCTTTTCATATATATTATCATCATCATCAAATAATCAGATTCAATCAGACATGAACCCCTTACCCAGAAGATACCTTTTTTCTGAGTTAGCGGTGGTGGTGTTAATATGCAGGGGAATGAAAGTGGACAATATGTTTTACTTGTTTATTTAAAATACAAAACTGAAATGTCACAATAAACGGAAAGAATTAAAAATATCAATTAAAATGTCTTTTTTGACATCTGCAGAAAATCTGATATAGATTTCAAATAATGAAAATAAAGACGCTTTATGCTGGCTTAGAAATTTTATTTCAAAACAGTAAAAGAAAAAAAATATTTCAAAACAGTTAATATGTTTTGAAATATGAAAGAACATAATTCTACAAGCTTTTGACAAGCAAGTTTATGAATCAAAAATATCAATGATATCAACATATCAGTGATATAAACAGACTCGTTTAAAGTCATCATTTTGCAATAATACAATGACCTTGTCAGCAAATTTCAATTCATCATTTGAGTTAAATGCTATCTGACGCTCATCATACAAATTATTAGGTCATTATTTACACTCTGTATCAACTGAAGTACGTTTTTCCCGATCATGATCAGGAGCACACACAGGTTTGAGTGTTCGACAGGGGATGTTTAATCCCCTAAGGTACTTGATCCCACTTCGAACGTTTAAGAGGTACCTATTTGCTCTGTTCACAATTTGTACTGTTTTAATGGACTCCTGAGCTTGATTGCGCTTCTTTATCTCCATATTTCATGAATAAACACATGTTTAAACAGGCATATAGAACATGCGTGTACCATCGTTTAACACATAAATTAATTATGCATATATGGCCTTGAAATTAGTCGATTTATAAACCTCCTAATTCATAATATGTGCAAGATACCGCAGAATTTAAGATAAAGATAAATTAAAGAAAAAAAAAAGATGTTTATATTTTTTATATCTGCACTACTGCAATGCCCCTGTTAGTTCTTTGCACATTCTTATCACTATTTAAACATCTATATATATATACTAGAATGTACTAGAATGCTGAAACTTTTTTTATGCCGAGTTACTTAATACGAGGTCATTTAAGTAAATTTTATCATTATGGTACATAGTATTATATCTGTAGGCATTTGCACTTCTTCGAATTCAGAAATTTACGAGGGAAAAATTATACAATAACTCTTTACACTTCTTCCTAAATGATTTACATTGGAGGTTTCATCAGTCACGTGAGATTTTTGTTTTACAAAAAAGAACATACATTTAGCTCTTAACATTTCTAACGTTTAGTACAAGTATCCTCGAGTTTTTGAGTGTTCTGTCCCTAAAATACGCTTTATCCTGTTTGTGATTATATTTTATAGGCAATCAATCGATTTAGCGAGATATTTTCATGATTTTCTCTCTCTCTATTTTTGATGAAATATTTACTTTTACAGAAAATGCTACCTATTTACTAAATATTGGGCAATATCGAGGACAGCTGACCAAAATCATGTGCACGTGTCATTTTCATCCTCGACTTCAACAAAATCTTTTGAAAAACTTTTCAAAAATTATTTCAAAATATAAATGCTATTTATGAATGTGTCTTAAATATTTGATTTTACACTTTAAATCTTTACATCTGTATTTCTCTGATTTTTCATGTGAAAGTAGACACTTCAACGTTAGAGATTTAAATAATGTATATCAAATTCGATTCTTGAAGTATACTTGTAACTTTTGATATATAATTATTTCCAGTGTCAGTCTTTAAAAAAAATAGAAATATAATTCCATTCTATAGAATATATTCTACACTTTACATTATGAGCTGAAAATTTTCCTCCTTTACACCTACATCTGACATCTTGTTCCAACATCCAACAGATTTTCATAAATGATGTTATAAAACAAAAACGTAAATAATAATAATAACAACTCGTTAAACGTCCTACATTTAGGCACAAAAAAGCAACAAATTAGTCATATGAAAATTTACTACTTTTGGTGTCAGTTCAGTGCTTGTGAAGAGCTTAAGAAAACTAGAGAGCTACAACTTCCCTCACATATAGACAGGAAATTCCTTCTTAATTATGTGCAGCGCATTCTTTGCGTAACTTACACAAGGAGTTTTTTTTTGGAAGAAAAGGGGCTTCTTCATTTAGAACTACAAAAAAACATTTTAATTTTGTTTTGTTTTCTTTGTTTATAGATGCACAGCGCATGCACTTTGATATAAAATTCGTATAAACGTTCATCTTTCTCTTAGAAGGATAATGTTGCTTCATTTAAATAAAAATACATTGCTTTTGTTTCCTTCCACCTATCATTTTTGTGATTAATTATGAAATTGTCAATGTTATAATTGATGAAAAAGGAGGAAACTTCCTGAAATTAACAAAATCAAAAAAATTAATAACCTCAGCTTAAAACAGTTGAGCAGATGTTCTGCACGGAATATCTTGTTTTTCACAAAATATATATCAATAATGTCACATTTCCTATGTTATGTTTTAACACAGCTGTTCTTTCTTTCAGTAAAACAAAATGTATATGATATCACTTCTGTAAAAATCTTAGAATATAAGTTAATAAGGAAGGTTTTGGTTTGTACTTTTAACTGCAATTTCAAAGTGAACATAAAATGCAATGTGTATTCTCTCGATTAACGTCAGAAAATCGACAATATACAGTTTCCTACATACTTATAGACTGACAAGACGGTAGCAATTCTGAATATGAATTCTAGGAAGCTATAATGGTGACCTTTGTATAAATGGTAGTATCATTTCCTCGAAACGGTCGTAAAATTGAAATGCACTGAGTATTAGATCTAAAGTATATATACTTTGACCAGAGCACATAGTAAAAATCAAAAGTCGTACTTGTTCAGTTATCCAGTGGGGATTTCTTTTAGATTTGCTTTGCCGTACTTTCTTTTTCACAAAAGGAAATATTAAGTTCTTGAGAATTTCAATAAAGCCCTTATCAATAATGTGTATCCACGAGAGGCACTGAAGATCTAAAATTAAATTTTGAGATGAAATAAATACCAGGAAGGATTAAAATTTCCATTGGTTATCGAGGGTTTTTAAATAGTCACGTGATGTAAAAAAGTGCCAAATTCTTAAGAACGTCAGCTTTATTTATTTAAATAGTGTATTCATAGGGGGTGTATATCTCGTAAAATAAGTAAGGTACACATGAACTGAATGGACCCCTTTCTATTTATAGTATTATTCCAGCCAATGAGAACAGCGGAAGCTTGGCTATTGATCTCGTTTTTATGATAGTATTATACGAAGTATGTTAAGCCAAGGAAAGTGTGGCGTATAAAAACGACACTCACAAGCGCCAGTTATAACACAAACTATTGAGCTGGTCCAAAGAGGTATTATAGAAAAAAGAAAATATGGGTATGTGAAAAATAAATTACATGATTTCTGAAGAAAAAGTTTCTTTCGGTAATAATGAAAATTTAAAGTTTATGAATGAAAAAATAAACTAAATTGAAATCAAAATATGATAAAAGAATACCATTGAAATTATAATTGCAGACTCCACAACTAGACAGTATGATGCTTACGTAATAGCAGACGATAAAGAAGAGGACAGACTATTTCTACAAGAAATGGCGGACAATTTGGAATCGTCAGAACATAATCTTCGTCTACATATCAGATCACGCGATGGTGATATCGAAATGGATTACCAAAAGGAATCAGAAATCATAACAAAGGGGTAAGTGTTTGAATGAAAAAGGAAAATGTAGATACTGCATTTTTTTTAAAAGGAAAACTAACTTGCAATTTTTTTTAACGTTTAACCTCTTATTTCAGATGTGAGAAAGTAATTGTGGTTTTGTCCAAGAAGTTCAAAGAAAACGAAACTGCCATGTATCTTTTGAAAGTAGCAGTTTCAAGGTCGCCAGGTAAATATCTTTATAAGTTTAAAAAAAAAACAACCTTATAATCTTTTTATCTATTTTTACTGGGCACGCTGAATATAATTTAAAAATTAAAATCAACTAATTAAAAAATAATAAATTATAATTGAAAAATAACATAAATTCATATTTAACTTCATAGCTGTACTTACATTTTTGCAATATATATACATATCGATAAAACTATAAAAAAATTTTTTCAAAAAACTGTTACTACTACAATTCGTGACCCTATACAAATATAAAAATAAGTGTACTATATAAATTATAAAATCGGAAATGATTTATTTTGACAGGATTCCAAATGAGACACATAATCCCTATCCACCGAGAGGAATGCATCGCCCCTAGTTGTATTCGATTTTTGACCGCTAATGACTACAGCAAACGTGACCTTAGACCTTGGTTCTGGCCACGAGTGGCCATGTGTTTCAGGAAGCAGACACGCCCATTTACATCCATATCGACACCAAGGAGAGTAAAGAGAAAACTCCCGGACGTTCTATGTCTGCCAGATATAATTATGGACTCTTTTTCTTCCGTCAAAGAAGAAAGCAAATGGAGGACTATTTAAACTTTTTATCATTTACTCTAAGGCTTATTTTGAAACCAGTTGACCATTATTTTACATTTTGCTTTCTAGTCAGGGATCCAATATGTCTTAATTTTTTATGTTGTTTTCCCCCAATTTTTGTCTAGTCCGTTATGGTTCATGAATAATTGTAGAGAGTGCTATACAATCAGAGTGCTATTGTCTGTGATAATTATATTGTGTGAGAGATGTATTTTATAGCCATTTTATAGCCATCGTCTTTCATTTGATTATGTATATAATTATATGTCATATCATTTTATACTTAAAAATATTACATATATATTTGTTTTTTTACAAGATAAACCAAGAAATTGATAGATCAGCTTGTATTATTTATGCATCTGGGACTTGGGCAATCGATTATCCTTGGATTTTCAATATTTTCTAAGTGGAACTGCAAATGATACTGAGGAGAACATTGATAGATAGTGGCGTTATTTGTCCATTATAAAATACACTGTTTCCCTATTGGTCCTTAATGGTATTTATTCTGTATCGACAATTTATCCAGGATGAGGAAACTTGTCTAGAAATTGCAAAAACCAATCAGAATCAATTGTACTGGCAAAGATACGTCAGCAACAAAGCAAATAGCATCCTTGTTCACTAATATTTTATTATCATCATCTGAATTATATATAACAAAAATAAATAAATAAATATTTCTTTTGTTTCTACCACTAGAAATATTCAGCTTTTCCTGTACACGATAAAAAATTTAAGCATTCTTTTTATTTTTTTTCAAAAAAAAAAAATTGCTTCAAGCTTTTAGATCTTTTTTCCTATCAGGTGATAATTAATCAGAAACGTAATTACGGTATATTTAAGGGGAAACACTTTTCACATTTACAGGAGCCTAAAAGATTTTACAATCTTTACTATTCATTACATTACTACATGTATTTACTTCACAAAAATATTTTGAGGAGATATATTCATTTATGAACTGCGTGTATTATGTTTTTGTCATTACAATATTCTTTTTGCTTGTGGACCTATATCGAGTTTATGTAAATTTAAATAACCTTTAACCTATACATACGAACACAGCTGCGTTATAAGCTTAGCGATTCGTTATTTAATCTTTAGTTATGACCAACCGGGTGTGAGCTTTTCGAATGAAAACAAAGTATAGGGAAGTTTAATTATATTTTTAGAAAGCAAAAATAGGGCGACACAAACCATTGCCAATACATGTAATCAGATATACGAGTATATATTGATTTTTAATCAAGAATATCATAGATACAGGAATATGAACATCTTGTGGATGTCTAGCAATTTAGTGATCCTTCAATGTATTACTTACAATTCTAAATTAGCCATCTATTGCATGGTCGACTAGTGTTTATGTGTCTGAAGTTATGGGCTAATTTTGTGTAAAGTATAACTCCTGCTCTACTAGGTTTTTAAATATATATAGATATAAAGTGACAAAGATTTCACTTCTGAACAGACATAAAACACTTTTCGTCTGATTTTCTAAATATTACATGCTTTCCCGACATTTGATTGGATTCATACTATGAATTAAAATGATGTCATTACTTTCTTACTTCAGGGGAATTTTACGAAAATAAAAAGGAATCGGACATAGAAATATTTGTTTGAAGTACAAATGCCCACATATATACATGCTCCAATTTCTTATTGGCCGTTAATGAATCGTTTACTAAATTAATCCTTTTTCCAACATTAAGAGCAACAAAATTTTACTCAACTCTCAGTAGAAGATGAAGTAGTAGCTAGTGTACCGCACTGGAATAGAAATCCTTGAAGGATTGTCAATTTACAGAACAAATAATTAACATCGGCCTGGAATGCCACTTTGACGCATTATTCATCGAGAAGAATCACGCGCAACTCCTATCCCAATTTTGTTAATTGTCAATTGGACCAGACCTCCAAAATTACAAGCAATAGGGTAACTCTAGTTTGAAATATTATGAGATCTTTAAAAAAAAATAAAATCCTATAGAGATATAAGCACAAAAAATTTCCTTTCGTCCACATATCCTTATTTGTTTTAACATCAAATATATTTCTGAAACATACAAATAATTTACAGTGTGTATAATGATAACTGTTAAAGTAGTACATTTAGACACATATAATTTTGTCAAACGAAACTTTTCTCGTCCGTTTCTTTTCATTTAAGTTATTATAGTGCTTGTGAAAAGCTCAACTTGCAAAAAAAAATTTGAGAGCAACAATTTCCCTAAGAAACTAGTATATAAAGAAAGTTAGTATTTAATTATGACTGCTCATTCTTTACGTAACTTCAACCATCAATAAACTGAACAAAACCATTCGAAAATGGGACACATGGGTCATTTTCTTTTAAGTTTCCTTCACAGACACTGCAATCTTTCTTTTTTTAGAGATTCAAAGGCAAACAGTTTCATATTCAAATAACATTTACCTAATTTTTTTTCATCAGAGAGATAATATCGATGTTGTTAACCTAACTATTTTACAAATTACATTGCCTGTATATCTTAAATCTGTTGGAATTGTGATAAGCAATGATTTTGTCAATGTGGTTCTTGAGAAATAAAAGTAAGAAACTGCCTAAAATTTGAACAAACTAGAATGAGTTTTAAAATCAACACAAATTAAAACCAAAACAGTCTCGCAAGATTAGGCATGCGCCATCTTTTTTTTTTTCAAAGACCAATCGCAACACTTCTTGACAGTTTGTATGGTTATCATTTCTACGAAGGCCCAGAAGGCTCATTCGAATTCAAGTTTCTACGAGATTCAAAATTTTTTTTTCGAGATTCAGAGATTAGCCAATCAAAAGGCTCATTCGAGATTCGAGGTTCGAAATTCGAGTTTCAGATTCAAAATCCAGATTAACAAAAATGCGGGTTCAACATTGATTACTCCCCTTTATTATGTTTAATCTCAATAAATCGTTTAATATATTTATAACAAATGAGTCATTTGATTAAATTACAATGCAAGAAAGAGTGTTATATATATTAGAAAGAAAGTTAAATAATCATTTGATTTTTGGTCAGCAAGATATACTTCAATTTATATTATGACTTCTTAAATATTAAATAGAATACATAATCAGGAATATATATATTTTTGCATTGTCTACTATATATAAAGGATTGTTGACATAATAATAAAGTTATAAATAGTGACTAAAGATTAACAAAATCCTTTTTGCCTTGATAAATAAAAACCTAGTATATTTTAGTCTTTTACCATAACGCTATGGTCAGAGACTAAAATATAAAACCATAAAATTAAAATATCAGTTAAAATGAATGCTGCACTTATTCTAATTCATATTTGCAATCTGTATTGTATATATAATTGTTAATTAGTTCAAGAAATCAAAGCCTTAGATGAAGATAAGTAATTGAAAACTTTATTTTAATTTATTCCCTCTATAAGAAAACGAGAGCGGTTTTTATTTATCAAGGCTACCTTGCCTTTCAAATTTTTAAAGTAACATTTTCAGTGTCGGGAAAAATTGGCAGGTGTTGCCGGTAGGGGTGGGGATTTTGTTAATCTTTAACACAATAACTTTATTATTATGTCACAACCCTTTATATAACAATGCAAATATATATATATATTCCTGATATATGTATTCTATTTAATATTTAAGAAGTCATAATATAAATTGAAGTATATATCAAAAATCAAATGATTATTTAACTTTCCTTCTAATATATATAACACTCTTTCTTGCATTGTAATTTAATCAAATGACTCATTTGTTATAAATATATTAAACTTTATTGATAGATAAAACATAATAAAGGGAAGTAATCAAAAACCAATCGCCTTTTGAAATCACTTCTTGACAGTTTGTATGGTTATCATTTCTGACAACGGCATTTTATGCATGCATTTCTGGCAAAATCGTGTCGTCTGAGTTTTTTTTTAAAGTGAGAAATATTCTGTTGTACATCTCTATGAATAAATTCTGAAACTTTTTCAAATGACAATCTATCATCTTTTTTAAAACTGAAATCTATCTCAATTGAATGAATGCAAAAAAGCTGTTTATAAATGATAAAAAATATAGGGATAACAAACAGTATAAAAAGCTCAAGAGTCCATTAAACAAAACAAAATTTGGAGAAGAGCGAGGTGTGATCAGGATATAACGTTGTTTTCTGAATCCTGTAGATTCAATAACGTTTTGGTAAGGCAAAACAGAGTTCGCTCTAAGTTTTTTGTTTTCATTTTGCCCCAAATATTATCCCCGCAGGTTATAATCGATACATGATAGATGTAAAGAAAAGACGCACACAAGGATTTTTGTTAGATTTGAAATCTTGCAGTATAAGAAAAACTCAGTTTTTCTCTGTAGTTCAGATAATGAATTCCACACCTGAAAAGAAATGGACTATGAAAACTATTTTTCTTTGAAATAGGCTTTACTTTTAAGATGTAATCATTAAAATATCACAGTGTTCCTTTAATATATTTTTACAGATTATCAAGTGATATCATGCGAATCCCATTTATTGCTAAAACCAAAAATCTATTATGCCATCTTCAAACATCAGTTTTATTCTTTAAAATCGATATTGTTCCATTTCTTTTTAGCCCTTATTTACCCTGATGAAGTCAACATTTGAAAGAAATTTTATTTGATTTTGACATGCTTTGGTAAGTAAAGACAACTCTTGCATTTGTTTAACATTTCTATCTAGACAGGAGTTACGTATCTTTCGAATTTCATTTATGTACAAGGGTTATTCAAAAAGTTTGTGGACTTTTGTGATACATGTACTTTCTTAATTAATGCCATAATGAATCGACATTTAACGAGAATATTCGAATAAATTGTATATAAAATTTCAGATCATGATATTTTAAAAATGTTTTTAATATATTAATTTGCAAAAAGGGACATGGAGGTGGAAAAAGTTATTTTCAAACAATATATTCAATAACTTAACGTTTATAATCATACATGTAAATATATTAAAGATCGAAAAAAAATTATTTTGCAAATCTTTCAAAGTAAAATAGTTACATCAATACAGAATCAAAATTGTGACATTACATTTGCTTTTTTCAGACATCTAGTACCATGGGGTTCAGGAGGAAAATATTTCCTTGATTTCTGATAGACAATATCTATGTAGATTATATAGATAATGACTTTCAACAATCTGTCGAAATTACCATTGGTACCAATTGCACCCGCTTTTTGTATTTAAATAAAGCAAATGTTCATGTATACACAAGAAGAAACACTTGCTGTGCACTTCAACTTCATATTTATCGACGACGGAGTATCAATAGTTGCTTCCATTTATATATACCGACTCGATATATC